TTTCTGCACTCAAAGGGTTCTCATACGCTGGATCTGCCCTCCACAGCAGGTGAGTTGTCATCACCATAGACCAACAACCCCAGCGGAGACCTCAAAGCCTGGAATAATAGGTGGCTGGGGTGGGATGTGGAAGTAGATTCTGAAATAATGTGCCTTGGTTTTAATGCCAAATGTGTTTTAAACAGAGTAGGCTTCTCAAACCATAAGAAAGATTCATATTTTGAAAATAAAATGATGATATGTGTTCTCTAAATACAGCTAAGCCATTTGGGTGGTACAATGGATCAGCATAATTAGAGTGACTGCGTGTTTTCTGGGAATGCAAACAAAAGCAAAATCACATGCCCACAAAGAGACCCATTTCTCTTTATAAAATCTCCAAATCTCCGACTTTACTGCCTGATGTAAACATAATGAAATTAAAAATAAGCCTTGCTCTAAATAGAAAAGCGCTGCAATGTCCCCATTTATACTAGAGCAAAACGATGCTTTTGTTGTACAAATAAACCAGAGCACCAGGGTACGTTTCACACACAAATATGATGAGCAAGTCTTACAGACAAGCTTTACAATAACACATTTTCATGTACGTCAGATATATTGTTGTATATGAACCATAGCTGACATGAGACTTTCGTATCTGCATGAAAATCAAGGCAATACGCCCAAAAAGAGCGACAAGTGCGGCGCGCAACAAAGAAAGATGGAACAACAGGTGGCTGCAGACCGTATAACAGCACAACAGAGCTCTTGCACAAAGGTGTAAAACGGAATTATGGGGGTTGCACACCAAGTTAAACCCCCCAAATTACGGCGAAGAAGCAGGCTGGGTGTGTTTAAGTGTGCATTGGTTTGTATATATATATATATATATATATATATATATATATATTGTCAACAATCACAAAAGTTTACAAATTAGTCAGAAATCGTCTTCGCTTAGCCATAGCAACAGCTGTCAATTTCAGACGGTGGCGACAAAAACATAATTACTGTGATTATTTATCACGTAATTATGGATGTGCACAACAGAAATGTATTAAAAAGTCGTACGCTTTGTTTGCGCAAGATGAACCTCAAAACGACTGCGCCCAGAAAACGACAGACAGATTGCGTTAAAAAGTTCAGCTGCCTGAAAGTCACTAGATAATTCGCATACATGGTGCGAACCACTTGTAAACAGCGCTAAAGTAAAAACAACACTGCACTAAATAACCACCCAGGATTGGCCGTGTAAAGCTCCGGAGAGAAGACACCCGTGAAAAAAGTGACAGCAGGCTGAAAATAGCGCGTAATCAGCGGCTTACCTGCGGCTGCAGCGCGAGCGAGAGCAGGAGAAAGACGGTCCAGTGCTGCCCGCGCTCTACATCCCTTATCATCGCCCTAGCAGCACTCCTTCTGTCCGTACTCGAGCTCCCCAAGGAGTGCCAACTCTTTCGGTCTCTATCCATTCTCATAGCAGACATTTGCGCACTTGGTCTGTGCGTACGGAACAGCCTTCCCCTGTTTGGTGACGCTTTCTTTACACTGTCCATGTGTCCATCGTGAAGACACAGCGCGAATACGAGCGAAGTAAATGTGGCACAGGTAAATGATAAGACTACTGATGTCTTTCCACACTCCGCGCGGAGTCCAGGGTGCGTCCTCCTCCTCCTCCTTCCACCTGCTACAGTTAAGAAGCTTTGAATGTTCGACCTGCTGACCTAGTGACTTGAGCTTTCATCCCATTTACTTTCCCACTCACTCAAAGCAGCTCTTTTCCCTCACGTCAACCGGATAGGCTTTCCCGATGCCCTCCCAAAGCAAAGCGCGAGCGATGAGAGCGAGACTGCGCATCACCGTGGGAAGCACTCGCGGTTAAGTTGCCAGTAGAGGGTGTGTTCTCTTCATGGGAATATCGGTCACCTGTATCTAACTTGAATATAATATGGACATATTTCTTACAAACTGATGTAGGCTAGTTTATCAATATAACATTTAGGTCTTTTTTTCATATAATGTCAAGAGTGCTGCTGTCACAACCCAATTTCCACTATGTACATTTAAATTTGGTAATCGGATATATTTAGGCCTACTATAGAATCGTCTGTTTACCATCCATTTGATTCAAAAATAAGTCAACAATACATTAAACAAAACTGGAATCAAATACCGAACAAATAGATAAACGCAAAAAGTGTTACACTCGAATGCACTGTCATTCTGTGCTTTGTGAGTCCAGCAGAAATGCATTGTTACAAAATTGTGAAAGTTACAATCCTCCTCATCCGGTCAGACATCTTTCTAGTTTTAAGATTTCAGCGAACAGGAAACATTCTCAGAATTTTGGTAAGATTCTGGCAAGGTTCTGATTCAAAGCTCAAGGTTCTCTCAATGTCAAACAAGCAATCTTCCAGTAACGTTAATAGAATGTTAATTCAAAATTACTGTCAAATCATTAGCATATCAATTATTGATACATTATTAATGGGAATTTTTTTTTCTGACTGGTTTTAGTTGGATCCAGTAAAATATTTTTACTAGGCTATTTTATTTGTTTTCTATTTAAATATATTTTAAAATGTAATTTATAGTGACTTCAAAGCTAAATGTTTAGCATCATTACTCCAGTCACACTATCCTTCAGAAATCATTCTGATATTCTGATTTGCTGCTCAAAAAACATTAATAATAATAATAATCATAATAATAATAAAAGGTTTCTTGAGCAGCAAATTAGCATATTAGAATGATTTCGGAAGGATGTGACACTGAAGACGAGTAATGATGCTGAAAATTCAGTTTTGATCACAGCAATCATTTAAAAATATATTCAAATATAAAGCAGTTATTTTAAATAGTACAAATATTTCACAACATTACTGCTTTTGCTGTACTTTGGATCAAATAAATTCAGGCTTGGTGAGCAGAAGAGACTTCTTTATAAAACATTAAAAATCTTACTGTTCAAGAACTGTTGACTGGTAGGTTATATACAGTAGATTACAGAAATATGTATATATAACATTTCTGTCCCCCTCACTTCTGAAATGATGGCTAAGCCCCTGGTTGGGTCCCATTTTTAAAACATTTTAAAAATGGGATGTTTCCAGTTTTCAAATAGGCTTACTTTAATAGGAACGTTACCAAATGTTCTTAGAATTTTAGTTTGCTGGAATGTAGTCTATGAAAAGCTTGTGTGGATGGATACATCAAATTAAACAGTTCTGTCAGTTACCGCGAATCATAGAATCGCTATAAAAAATGTACTTACAGTTTAAAATTATGGTGTGTACCTTTATGTTTCACAACTTTATATTTCTCACTTACACCTTTACTGCCACCTTACTTTTTATCACATCATAGGCTAAAAGTGGAAGCAGCATGCTTTCTCTGACTTAATCATTAAGTCGTTGGGTGAGGACAAAGCAATAAACCCACAAGGTTTGGATGCCAAATAGTGTTTGTGGGGCCCTGTTGCATGCACCCAAAATGACTACGGATGTTTGAACATTTCACAAAGACTGAATATTTGTGTGTTTACAGTAAAGATTTGTTATTGAGGACCACATACATTGCCTATATATACTGTCTGTAATTCTACATTGCTGAAGAAATAAATGAAAAATGCAAAAAATATATATTTTTATAGAAGTAACAACTAGTGACTATTCTGTGTTGTTTACTGGTTTTAGATGAGTTTTGACTACTTTTCAGCTGGTCAGGCAGAGAGATCTTTTTAAACCAGCTTGGCTAGACTGGAAGCCCAGGGGCCGTTTGCATAAAAGGTTTAGACTAGTCTTAAAAGTTAGTCAGCTATTTTTTTCTTTAAGGCAGGTCATATTTTTTATTTATTTACTTAAATAAAAATGTAGATTAGTCGAAGTTGAATCCAAAAAATAAGACTGATTACCCTTTGGTTAACTGCTAGTTGGTCAGACTAGCACTTAAGGCACTGTCTTAACATAGAGGCTAAGTTTATGCAACTGGGCCCTGCAGCTCAGCCTATAAACCAGACTTTTGACTTAGGCTAATTGTGGAAATTCAAAGCATATCGGCGTCATATTGCTGCTTTCCAGATCTCCATATCGGGGAATGAGTGAACTTTCCACTGTGCAGGCATGGAGGCAGTTACTACAACACAAAGCATCCGCTTTATGCTGAAGATATAATGAACCGATTTTATTGACTCGATGCTGTTTCCTCCCCCCATTCGCGACGGAATGGACTTGTTGCTGACGCGCACATCCCTGGAAACCGGTTATTTCCCAAAAGTAGAGTGACCCGTGGTCAGAACAGAGGGCTCTTCAAGTCCGTCTGTGATTAGCATAGAGTAGCGCTGACCTCGACACAACTGAATTTTAATCGCTCTTTATTCCTACTGACAATAGAAACCATCACAGACATTTTTAATGGTTTCCACTACAAATACCATTACAAACCATCAACTTTTAAGTTTTAACCATTAAAACCATTTTTTTGTAGGTCTAGTGTGTTTTGGGACATATTCCATTAGGATTTAGTGGCTTTAACACAAGTACAAATTGTGAAACTTTTAAAACAGATGTATTTAAATATACTGTTTTTTAAATGCTTGCGAACAAGAAAAAGTGGACTTAAACAGTAAATTGCTGTAAGGAAATTAAAACTGGTGTGGCTCAGTTCAGTTTCATAAAGACACACAAACACTACTCTACAAAAGTTAAGGGTCATATTTTTTTATTATTAATGATGGTTCTTGCTGTCAATGTTGAAAAGCTTTTGCTGCATAATATTTTTGTGGAAACAGTGATGCATTTTTTCATGATTCATTATTGGAAATCTATTGTAAAATTATGTCTTTCAATAATTTCAATGCATCTTTTCGGAGTAAAATGTTTTATTGTCGTGAAGATGCTGTTTCGTTGTGAAAGTGAAACTACTTTGTTTGGCCTTCCAAAAGAGGACGATATCCGCTTCGTCATGCCTAGAGCTGATCCGTGCTGGTCGCTGAAGAAATACATCAACTTCGCGCTGTGGTTCACCGTGGACGAGTCCAGCCCGGGGTCGTCACGTGTGGTTGCCGCAAGCCCTCCCGCCGCCACTCACTCAAGCCGGCCTCCGCTCACTCAAGGCCCGCGGTGTGTGACGCCGTTTCGTTGTGAAAGCGAAACTACTTTGTTTGGCCTTCCAAAAGAGAACACGACCAGAAATCAGTGGTTAAATTGTATTTACAACACTGTTCCAGAACAGTTCAATCCAAATATTCAGATGTGTGCAGCACATTTTATGGAGGACTGTTTCCTGATCCCGAGTAGACTCACAGACTGCAAGTACTTTTTTTATATTTAAAGAATTTGCCACTGACGATTCAAACGCGAGTTTTTTGGGCAGTGTAGAGTAGCACTTGTTGTTTGTCATTTCTCCGATCACAAATGCAGACATGGTTTTATGTTTACGCGGCGCGATGCAACGCGTAAAAAGACAGCGGCCAATCACAGCACACCTCTTTTCAGACCGATGAGCTTTGTAAAAAATCGATGCGTTTCAGAAAGGCGGGGCATAGAGGAGAAACAATAATGTACAGTATGTGGAAAATAATGCGTTTTTTGAACCTTAAACCGCATAAAAATTTCATTACACCAAACAATGTTCATTTTAGCAGCATCATATGACCCCTTTAAAATGTAATTTATTCCTGGTATTTCAAAGCTGAATTTTTAGCATAAATTTAGCATTTGAGCATCAATGCTCTCAACTTTTTTTTTATTAGTAGCATGTTGAAAACAGCACAGTATAATTTTTTTCTTTGACAAATAGAAAGCTCAAAAGAACAATTTATCTGAAATAGAAATCTTCTGTAACATTATAAATGTCTTTATCATCACTTTTGATCAATTTAAAGCATCTGTGCTAAATAAAAGTATTCACTTCTACAATACCCCCCCCGCAAAAAAATAAAAAAGTTAAGAGACTCGAGATTTTGAATGGTGACGTGACATGTGGCCAAGTATGGTGACCCATACTCGGAATTAGTGCTCTGCATTTAACCCATCTTAAGTGCACACACACAGCAGTGAACACACACCCGGAGCAGTGGGCAGCCATTTATGCTGCGGCGCCCGGGGAGAAGTTAGGGGTTCAGTGCCTTGCTCAAGGGCACCTCAGTCGTGGTATTGAAGGTGGGAGAGAGCGCTGTACATTCACTCCCCCCACCTACAATCCCTGCCGGTACGAGACTCGAACCCACAACCTTTGGGTTACAAGTCCGATATATCCGTTATACTTCCAATGGTATTCTGCATAATGTTACAAAAGATTTTTTATTTCAGAAATTCTAATCTTTCTATTCCTCAAATAATCCTGAAAAAGTTACTAAACCGTTTTAAACCTTGATAACAATATAATGTTTCTTGAATGGCAAATCCGCATTAAATAATGATATCTGAAGGATTATGTGACACTGAAGACTGGAGGTAATCATGCTGAAATGTTAACTTTGGTTACAGGAATAAATTAAATTTTAAAATATATTCAGATAGAAAAGCAGTTATTTTAAATAGTAAAAATATTTCACAATATTTCTGCTTTTGCTGTATTTTGGATCAAATAAAAGCAGGCTTGGTGAGCAGAAGAGGCTTCTTAAAATAAATAAAAAATCTTACCGTTCAAAAACCTTTTGACTGGTAGTGTATATAATAATGAATGTGCTCCATAAAGGGCAATAATTGTGTGGCTCTACTCTAGCTGCTCATGAACACCCCACTACTCTCAAACTAAACAATAAAATCTCAAACCCCAGGTCAAGAGAAAATAACAAGCAGAAAGCAACATGAAAAACATTGTGATTTAATAAAAACATCAACGCTCCAGGTACAATGTCTGGGGACCAGACTCTGGGTGCAATGACTTCACATAAATGTAATTATATAAAAAAAAAAAAAAACTGCATACTTACAAACTCATCAAA